TTCCCGTCTGCCTTCGCCCGCGTGCACGCTTACCCATTGCCCAGTACCAAGCCCCTTCACGTGCCTGCCATCCCACCTGTTTAGGATTGAGGCCTTCCCTAAAGGCCGATCTGAAGGTCTTCCCTGAAGATCATTCATGGGAGGAACGACCTTCCATACTTAGCCAAATTCCAGATGACATGAGTATGAACTGGAATAGCTACTCCCGACAGGCCGACCTTGGTCCTGACATGCTCAACCGCTGGTCGGATTCCTTGTCGGGTACCTCAACCTATAAATAGGGCACTTCACTCTTCAGTCACTCTTCAGTCAGGTATGGTATTCTAGCTCGGCCTCCTTAATAAGGTCAGACTCAAAACTGACTTGAGTGTCGGAGTGTTTGTTCCCTTGTACAGGTCTTTCCTCGCCAAGTGGCCTTTCAGCTCATTCCGGACAACAGCTCATCCCAGTCAGCCGACCTTGACCCTTTGAGCTATCAAGATAGCTCATCCCTTTCCAAGGATACCCAAGCTCTTCCCTCGGTCATACCTGAAGCAGGTCATGGTCTTCCTGCAGTCATACCTGAAAAGTAGGTCATGCTCTCCCGACGGTCATACTTGGAGTAGGTCGAGCTCTTCCCTGTGGCCCTGTGGCCGACCTTGACCAGGTCATACCCCGTCACATTTTTTGCATAAACATTTGGCGTCGTCTGTGGGGAAGGACATTTTAAGTCATTTCTACCAAACAAAGCTATGGCACGTAAAAACCATCTAATATCCACGTCTCAACGGGGATCTTGTAGATGTTTTCAAGGACCGAGCTAGGCGATCGATGTGTAAACGATGGTAGCTCAACCTCGCCAAGAGGAAGAGTTTCATCTCAGCTTATCCCGGTTAGAGGAAGAGCTGCCATCAGATAACTCAACCTCGCCAAGAGGAAGAGTTTCATCTCAGGTCATCCCGATTAGAGGAAGAGCTACCATCAGATAACTCAACCTCGCCAAGAGGAAGAGTTTCATCTCAGCTCATCCTGGCAACAGGAAGAGCTGAATTTCAGCTCATCCCGACAAGAGGAAGAGCTCAATCTCAGCTCATCCCCAGCT